CTAAAACCCTAAAACAAGAAGCCAAGAGTCTCACGTCCCAGCAAAGTCCCAAACAGTCTAGGATGCCCGAGTTTAGGGTCTAGGGTTTAGGGGTTTAGGGTTTAGGGTTTAGGGTTTAGGGGTTTAGGATTTATGGTCTAAGGACTCATATCATATGGGCAATGTTGAGCCTGAGGGTAAACATCGGAATTTCGCTCCTTTTAACCCAAAGGCTCCCCGTGCCCATATAGTATATCCTACTTGGAGGATCATGGGACTTAGTAAGTAAGGTTATAAGTCCCTTCATTGGGGCTATAAGTAATTATAAGTATAGTTACATCAGTGATAAGTCCCTAAACCCTAAACCCTAAACCCTAAACCCAAAACCCTAAACCCTAAACCCTAAACCCTAAACGATCCGTTAAGTATATGGGCACACGGAGCCTTAGCGATAGAGTCGCCCAGCGCAGCAGTGGAATGGGGTTCCTTTGAAAGGCTTCTGCAAGGGCTTCTTTAACGAGTTTCTTTAAGGGGTGCTTCTGTTTTTGGGTTACTTTACAAGGGTTTGTGTAACGATTCAAACATAGCGTTTAAGGTTTAGGGTTTAGGTGTTCTCGTTTAAAAGCTTTCAGCCCGTAAACTATACAGGGAATGCAGGTGTGGGAATAATTCGAGCGGGGTGGTGGGCCTGAGTCCTAAGCCCTAAACCCAGCTCAATACCCCTTTAGAGCTTGAAATTTAGGGGAACTCTGAAACGAACCCCCTTTGCGGAAGCTGGTTGAAATTCAAGGGAACTCTGAAACGAGCCCCCTGTGCGGAAGCTGGGAGCCCAACCACAGGCCTTGAGAGAAGCGTGCTGCCTCGGAAAGTCGATATGCATAGCCCGCGCTCTTTATGTCAGGTGCCGATGTGGGTTTGTAATAGGGTCCTATCCGCAGGCTATATAAGGGTTCTAGATTCTAGAAGGGCTTTCATAGGTTATATAAAGGCTCTTACCGGTTCTATAAGTGCTGCAAAAGGGCTCTTGCGGGTTGTGTCAGTGTAGGGGAACCCTAAACCCTAAACCCTAAACCCTAAACCCTAAACCCTAAACCCGGGTTTCGAAGGGTTTCGGTTTCAGTGTACCAACCTTCCTACTACTCAGCTGTACCGAGAGCGGAGGCCCAAAAACGATAGGGGCATGACTGGTTTAGGGTTTAGGGTTTAGGGTTTAGGGTTTAGGGTTTAGGGTTTAGGATTTAGGGTTTAGGGTTTAGGGTTCTGTTGGATTAATTTTGGTTTTGGTTTTGGGGCTCATCGTGCAGTCTTTCTAGGTGTTGGCACGTTTGTCAGGTTGACACATTGAGTGATTGAGGCCTAGAGCCACTAATCAAGCTCTCCTTTCTGGCTGATCTTGAAGTTGCATGTCCAGGCATCTAAGAACCGCGGATGTTGACAGAAACGGTCTCTTCGAACTTCCTATGCTGGGTTCGCGACAAGGACTAAAGTGGTTCGTGAGACTTAGGCAAGGAAGGCAGCAGGCTAAAGGCTCTTTCTACATGATGGCCTGCGAAACCCAAGTCCGCATGAAACCGACGTCGCAAGACCCAGCCATACCTTCTTACGGAAGCTACGCGTTTAAAGTCTGGGATGATGGTTTAAGGCTTGGGTTTAGGCTGTCTGGTGTACAGGTTAGGTCAATTCGGGCTTTGGCTAATCCCTAAACCTTAAATGTTATTGCCATAAGCTCCTATGCCGTGTCAATTAAAGGCCGTAGATCTCCAAAGCCACGGCCGAATCAGCCCTGTCAAGGCCCCCAAAAAACACATAGGGCTTAAGGCTTAGGGAGGTTTAGGGCACAAATTAGGATAGGAATATCCCATATTACCCCCTTCTTGGCCGTTACTCTAGTCTATCAAACCCGTAACACCCTGCAGCGGCTGCCCAACCCGACGAAACTCCACCCCTGAAAACCCCTAGGTACTCTTTCCCGCCCTGCCTGTTCCCACAACCCCGAAACTCAAAATCCTAAAAACTAGGGTTTCGGGTTTTTCTGTTTAAACCCCAAACTCACTTCCCCAATAAGCCAGGGGAACGAAAGGTTAAACTCTCAGCTTGCAAATAAGAATTTTGTCGAACCCACAAAGTTTAAAGGTTGGGTATTGGAGAAGTAAGAAAACCCCAAAATATCCGGCTTATTAGGTAAGGTTATAAGTCCCTTAATTGGGGTTATAAGTAGATATAAGTACATTTACCTTGATTATGCCCCTACTTACTAAGTCTCATGATCCTTTAAGTAAAAAAACCCACCAGAGGACTCTTCCTTCACTTGTGCCAAGTTGCGGCCCAACTCCCGGGTAGTCCAAGCCGGCGCTAATGGAATGGGTCTCCTTGATCTGACCTTCAGAAACGAGTCATGCTTAGGGTTTTAGGGTTTAGGGTTTAGGGTTTAGGGTTTTTGGGAACCGGTTGTAGGGTTTAGGGCCTTCGTGACGGAGTCGCACAAGCCGGGCTTCTGTACCCTGATAGCTAGCCCATACCAAGGTATACAGTAACTAAGCCCTGAACTCTAAACCCTAAACCCTAGAACCCTGAACCTCAAAACCCATAGGATAAACAGTAAATCTCACAGGATCTCCTTACAGAGACCCTGAAAACGAGCCCGCTTCTGCATGGACGGCCTCAGCTTGGGTAAGTAGCCCTGAAGAAGCAGTACTTATAGCATCCTGGAAGCCTAGACCCTAAAGTTTAGGGATATGGTCACGGGTTCGGGTTAGGGTTGAGGGTTTAGGGGTTTGCTTGGAGGATCATGAGACTTAGTAAGTAATAAGGCTATAAGTCCCCTAAGTGGGATTATAAGTAAGTACAAGTGCAGTTCCCTTAATTATAACCCTACTTACTACATCCCATGATCCTTTAAGTAGGGTCCCTAAACCCTAAACCCTAAACCCTGAAGCACTGTTAGGATCCTGGTGGCTTCCAAGCCCAGCTACCTACCATAAAAGGGCCTTAGGGTTTAGGGTTTAGGGTTTAGGGTTTAGGGCCTTGGTAAACCAGGACCCCCCCCACAATGGCCCTGTAATCGAGCCCGCTATCGTCCTTAATAGTGGGGTATCTGGGGCATAGTAGAGGGTAGTTGGGGGGGGGGGG